TGCCCAGGGTAATGATATTTGGCCAGTAGCATGCTGAGATAAAGGGCTACAAAGTTTGTTCAAATAAATGACCTTCACCCATATTCAAGGTCACAGGGGTCAAATATGTTAAAAACTTTAAACAACTTCTTCTGAATATCCAAAATACTCAGGGTGATGATATTTGGCCAGTAGCATCCTGAGATAAAGGGCTACAAAGTTTGTTCAAATGAATGACCTTCATCTATATTCAAGGTCACAGAGGTCAAATATGTGAAAAACATTCAACAACTTATTCTGCCTGTAGCTTTATTTCAGATCACTTTTAAGGTTACAAGTGTGAGTTTTATACCAGGTGAGCGATGCAGGCCCATTGGGCCTCTTGTTTATTCTCAAACTTTGTCAGGCTCTATTCAAGGAAGCCACCAGCCAAATATGAAGATTCTATACCTTTTAAAGAAAGCTCAGGCATATGCCTCCAGAAGATATCTTGGCTACCATTTTATGTATGTCAGACTTTATGTAAAGGTCAGGTGGTCGCAGAGTGGTGTAATGAGATGAGGTATTATAGAAGGTATGCCCAGGACAAACTCTTCGGATGGACTGCAGAGTTCCAACCCATAACACCCTACCCCCACCCCACCCTACACTGGGAACCGATGGGGGACTAACAGGCAGGGTCCCATGTGCCAATAAAAAGTTGCAACAACAGAAATATATTCTAAAAAAAGTTTTATTCCTGAATTCTCAAAAGAACACATGTAAAAATACCTGGAATGATGTTTATATGAACAGCTACAGGTGGTCAGTCGGGAGAACTACAACATTGCTTGACCTGTGCACCAGTGCAGAATACAACAAAACGTGTGCCCTAATGTATAGCCTACAGATAATATCGTCTTCATTACGTGTTTATATCAAACACACTCAGATCAAATATTTTCACAAGTCACAGTTATCAGTAGAAGGCTTTTTTGTTCACTTTCCGTTCATATTTTTCCACCAGATCTTCGAGGTATTTTTTTTAATAATGTACCAGGTATGTTACAGAAATACACTGTAGTCTTAATACAAGCCTTCAAAAAAAAAAATTATAACTATTTTATAAAAAAACTTTTTTCAGTTACTTTTTCAGAATATTTGAGAATTGAAATTCTCATGAAGATGACTTTAAGTAGCATATTAATGGGAGCAAATTTTTTTTTTTTAATACTATCGGACAATGATAGTATGTATACATCACTCATACAGCTTACTGTCTAAATATACGTCAACCTAAAAGCCACTACATGCTTTTAATAGCTATTTCCATTTTTATCATGCAGACAATATTCGAAACCTTTAATTATGTTTTGAATTTCATAAATATGCTTTAAAACGAATATTTATCTTTATGCAATGCATGTACATGTCAAGCCCAGTAGCTTGAAATTAATGAAATTATTAAAAACGAATATTAAGGAACAAAACAGCAAAATAATTGGGTTAACTGTTTTTTCCGTCTTAAGGTTGTGAATCACTTTTAATCCCAGGATGTTTTAAGGGAGTACTTAATTTTCATACAATTCGATTTTTTTTTAAATACAAGGCAGAAGAAAAAATTCTGATGTGGATATTTAATACCTATCAACTGAATTTTTGTTATCAAACTTGATTTTATCAATTTTGTTTTTGAAAGATATCATTTTCAATCCTAGGACATGATTTTTTTATATAATCCTATTATATTCATTCAACATTTGGTTTAAACTGAATTTGAATATTAATGAAAAAAACGTAAGTCTAAATTAGCAATGAGTTGATCATAAAGCTTATGAAAATTCACTAAAACTGTAACCAGTTACTAAAGCCTACCATATACCACCACGTCACTTACAGTAAAACACGGTGAAAACCTGTTGACATTCAGACTAGATAAGCTAGGTACAGAGGTACCATATTTATTTTCTATTTCAATTATGATGTTTCTAGAACGATTTGAACTTTCCTATTTTAATGCAAAGTGACGCTTGTGAACAAATGTATATATATACATAGCAAAACATAACAAAACCACACAATCAAACTTAAAAAATGTTACGAATATTTAATCTTTGAGCTGAATCGGTTACTTCGGTACATAAGCTAGTATATAAATGTATCTATTTCAATTACAACTGAGACAACGCAACACAGTCGGACTGATTATCTACAAAACAATCATACAGTGTAAAGCATTATGCATGAAACATTTGAGCTTTCAAAAATAACTTAGAATAAAAAAAGAATAAGATGTAGAATTCTGTAAAAATCTAATTGAGTAGGTTTTGAAAATACTGTACAACATATTTCGTTTACTTTATCAAAGAATTGAAGTGCAAGAATACTTTTTTCTGGTAAATAATAAAATGATTTTATACAAGTGATGTTTTGTATTGTAATATAAATATGTAACATCAATGTACAGAGAAGTTAAAGCTCTATTACACATTACATGTCAAGTTACCTCCCTTGCATCATTTCTAGCTAGTGACGTCTTGTATTTCTGGTTTTGAAAACATTTACTGTCCAGAGATTCTTATATATATTTATCTGTTAATAAATATTACACAAACAGCTTACAAAATGGTTCTTTGATCTTGGTTTTAATTGAAAACATTTCTGACAGCACATTCACATTGTGTTCATGTATGGCCATTTCAGATATACATTATGCATTAGTTAACGAAGGAAAAAAGATCCTGAAAAAATGAAATAGAAATGCCTACATATTATTATGCTGACTTATATTACAAAATAGAATCAAAACAAAACCAATATATCTTAGAATCTGGAATTGAAGAAATGATTTATTAACAAATTTCAAATCATATGTGAAGTTTAGAGCCCTGATCTATAGGAAGAAATTAATGAAGATATATACGATTTGTATATAGGACTTGACAATTCGTTTTGATCCTGCAACTATAAGTTTTTTGGTGCCAAAATAAATTCAGAGCAAAATACTGATTGCTTTGATGTTTTTATACAGTGTTTTTGTGAAATACGTACCAGGTAAACAAAATCTAAACAACTTGGTAAAAGATGAGACATAAAGTGATCTACATATCAAACAGTATAAACCTGCCTAAACTGATTCCCTGTATACTCTAGAAACCTGTTTAAACTGAACAAACCTTCACAACTAGGTCGTTTCATACATTACAGGCGTAAATTAAAATTCTTCTTTTAGTAAAGAAAACTTTTATATTTTTTGAAGGCCTGTGTATACTGAACAGAAGTTCTGATGATGGTAGGGTTCAGGTTAGACAGGTTACACCGAGACATGAACATAGTACCCTGACTGCCAAGACAGAATGGTCCTTGTGTAACACAAGGTCAGAGGTCAACACCAAAGACAATGACAACAACACAAGGTCAGAGGTCAACACCACAGATGATGACAACAATACAGTAAACACTGCTGAAGACGACAACCTTTTTAACAGACAAATACAGGGAAAGCGTTTTTAAACAATATCTTGCATAATGTACAGGCCTTATATGAACTATCTAATCAACTGGTTCGCACCATACATGGACAGAAAAACAGGTTTGGTTTAAACTGAAATTAAGACAATATTCAATTCATAATTTAATATCGATTCCTTTTCGCAAGGAATGGCAAGATGAAACAGTCTACCTCATATTGATGCATAAAAACAGTTTTCGTCAGAAGCGTTGTGTGCTATAAATACTATTATATTAATTCACATTTTCCCCCTATGAAGCATGCTTTTAAATAATGAGCTTCATATTTTTTTTAATATATAACAACTTATTGTAAACTATAATTTCATGATCAACCATCAAATTCCTGAACAAGTTAAATTTTCATTTAAAATTGAAAAATTCATAAAAATTCACAATTTTTTCATCAAATCAACATCCATTAAGTCAGTGATTCAGATTTATTCTGGACAAGAATTTCATCATACGAGGTAGCTACAGACGTCCATACATTTTTATATTTGCCCTAGCATACATATCGTCAGATTTACATTTACATAGCATTTTTTTTTTATTTAATTTGTTTTCTGTATTTTGTTTTTGTTAAAAAATTAAACCTTCTAGAGATTACAACTACCAGTGTTCATAGATAAATATATGCTTTTGTTAACGGTTACTAGAGGCGGAATTCTTAGGCCTAACAAGGAAATCATGTTTCTCTAAACGTACATGATCTCTACCTGGAATTTTTAAAAATTCCCAGTCATAAACATAATTGGCGGATCCCTTGATAATAATTTTCAGTATTTTCAGGAGTGTTAATCTAAGAGGCACTTTTCGCAGAAACCTCCGAAAAGGGTTGATACAAGTGTCCGGATATATCAGATAAGAATTGTCAATTTATTAACTTCTAACTGCATGCAGAGGTCTGTACATAGTGGTTGGGAGGCACTTTGGATAGCGCACTCGGATTTCACCAAAGTGGTTTTGTTCGACCCAAAAACAAGAACGCGAAAAGTATTGGGTCACCTCCATGTTGGTTTTCTACATCCTAATGTTATCTAGCTTTTTCTCATATTTTTGATAGAGATATTGTACATTTAGATCTATTGAATAAACAATGGTAAATAACCTTGATTTCTACTCAATAAGTGATGAGCAAAAACAGCTCCACCTGTTTCAGTGTATCATGCATTGGGTTGAAGGTTTTGGTTTTTTATTAACATTAATATATAAATATTGTACATGCCTTAAGAATAAAACAGATAACGGGGGGATAAATGGCAAAAACTTTATAGACTATAATATAAACATCGTTTTCATTGAATTGTAACAACAACGGGACAAAAAATCATGTTGACATCACTTCACCATACAAAAATATCAGTTAACTCTCAACAAAAACACAACTCTTCTACAAGTCCAAAAAATTTAAAATACAATTTATAATTGTAAAAAAAAAAGGTTTTCAAATACATTATTATATAACATTTTCTACGAATGCTGCGAATCACAGCTATATGTTCCGACATGTAGCTCACTAGACGGTGTAAATATTGGGTAGATTTAAATGTTGTTCCATACCATGTATGGCGAGGTAACATGATGATTGTGTCGTCTCCCTGACACACACGTTACCGTAAGTTACAGTGACAAGCCCACACTTGACATAATGTTAAACCAAAAGATATTGTTTAGGTTAAATTTTGTTGTTTCTGTAGGGGAAACACTTAGTTGGAATTATATTTTGACAAATTATTATTTTTTGAATAACTGCTGTGCATAAATGAACTCAATATCTCTAGGGATCACATGAAAAATTCCCAAACATGTTTGTACTTGCAGGAAATATGTATATTACAGATATGACTTCAATTATCATGAAAAATCTGTTTTATCAGGGATGGGCTTATTACCAGGCGTGGGCTTATCACAGGTAACATAACAGTTGGGAGCAGGTCAAATTGAAGCATTCATTGAAGACAAATACAAAAATTTCACATTGTTCTTCTAATAGAATTCTCTTAAATTTAAACCAAGGTATGATGGTGCAGGACGTATGGATTTTTTTACAAGAGTATGAACGATTGACTTGTTTTTTACAAGAGTATGAACGATTGACTTGTTTTTTCTCACTTGCTCTCTCAAGTAATTTAGCAAGATCACACTTTAAGTTACCTACATTTTTTTTATCTTATCCAGTTTTTTACCTGCTCTGTTTTAAACTTTTAAGAAATAGGTGCCTTTTAAAAACTTTTTGGAGAAGATCAATATAAATGTATGGAATTAAATCTATGTACACATGTTTGTTAACAAGTTCTAGTTATACATTCAAAACCACAATAGGCACATACAAGGGAATTTAATGACGGTGAGACTCTCGACAACAATACCACTAGAAATATATAGAATATCGTAATATATATATCGTAACTACATGTATATAAAGACAAAAATTTGGTCTCGTTCAATGAGACAGATGTCACTCAAGAAGTTGACCACACTTCCATCGACACTTAAGATCTATTGAAAACTATCTCCTTGACATACATATTTATTTTTTTATCAAGTTGAGATTCAAATTTCTCCTATGACAGATTTAAATAGATTACAAAAGTTCACATATAACAATACTTTACAGGTTTATAAATTTTACTAATTTCAAAATTTTTACAATTCCGTTTTTCATATTTTAAGTATCTGACCATCACGTAACAGGCTTAAATTGTTGGACTCAAACAAAGAAATAGGCCAAAAAAATATTTGAAATCTTTAAACCCGGAATAGTGTAATTAAATCAATATCTGTTTAAGAAACATAACAGTTGCCTGAACCAGATTTATCGGAAGTGTAGTCAACTATTATTAGTAATAAATATATATATGTATATAAATTTGACAATATCAATATTTTTTCTTGGAAAAAAACCAACGGAGGAATGGTTCTTTACAGCTAAAAGCCAAACCATTTGGTAAATTGTCTTCTGACGATCATATTTCAGAGATACCCAGACAAAAACAGTCACTTTTTTCAAATGCACAATCTTGTGTCACTTCACAATGAAAGTATTTTCAGCAGATTTTCAAACATTTAAACAGCTTTTTACGATTCTATTGAAACAACGTGATATATAAAAGTTAACAATGCTGTGGAAAGGAGCGAAGGAAAATGAGCGACTTTTTACCTCATTATCTGTCATCCTGGAAAACAATTTCAAATGTTGAATACCAAATATGGGTCATGGAAAATATTGAAGATTATTCATGAAATGAAAAATGTTCACAAATTCAGGACCACTCATAAAATACAACCATTCCATGTTTCTATGACACAATTAATATATCATACGGCAAAATATGGAAAACTTGCTCATTATGAAATCCTTATCAATTTGTTCTGGATGAGAGCAGATGATGTCGGAAACGACCAAGAGTGCAAAATGTCAAGGCGACAGTGACTGAGTGCGTTGTCATGGTAACCACTGGCGGGCACCATCTGGTCTGTATCATCCTCAGTGGTAGCCATCGTCCTTGTCAACACGTCGACACACGCAGATGGCAAACACGATTCCGAAGATCTGAAACATTTTGGTATTAATTAAATAACTTCAGAACAAATTTCCTTTGAAAAATACTATATATACAAAATTATTTCTTCATCAGAATTTGCCAACAGTCCAAGTTTGAAGAGTTGCTGAGTATATTCCATCCCATTTAATATACCAACAACTTTAGTAATTTTACATGATCACCTACTTACAACAGGACTGACAAATAAATATATTACAGGGGCTGTTTTGTGCTATTTCGTTGTTTTGTCTTTTCATAGTTTCGGAGATTTAAGGTTTGTGTATTCTTGTCTTTTCAGGAAAAGCAGACGAAAGAATAAAATGAAACAAATTAGCCATGGTAACATACTGCTCAACTTTGCTAATGCAAACTGTAATATCTTGACAAAAGGCCCATAGCACCAGTATTGCTAACCTGTCCTTTGGGAAGGTCTGACAAAAATTTTCAAAATGTTTTTTTCAGACATGAAGTAATTGGCATTTAGTTGTAAGTAGACATACATACCTCGAGACAGGCGACGCCAATGCCTACGCCGATTAGGATGTTCGTGTACTGAAGAGCCATGTCAAGGAGAGTCTTCTTACAGCCCTGCAAGTATTACATCAATATTTTACTAACATTTCTATAAGAGAAATACAGTGTAACAGTTCACAGCTTTGAAATCGTCTTATAACAAAATGTCATTCATTGGTGACCTCCTGACTGACAAGTCATTTGCAATGACACTTGACAAATTCAGGAAAAGTGCTGATTTTTCCTGAAATTTTTCCATTGGCCTTTCAAATGTATAGTTTGTTAACGTTCATTTCCCATTTTAATCAAGGAAGTATCATTATTATATTCTGACAATCTACAATCACTAGCCCTCACCACAGTTTGAGGCTTACATGCGGCAGTTTGCAGATACTGGCCGCAGGTTGTTGATTTTTTGTCTGGGTTCTCAGGTTTTTCTCAACCCCAAAACCTGACTCATCCTTAAATGACCAAAGCTATAAATAGGATGTAAAGCAGGACCTGCCTACAGCTGTTCCCCATACCTTTTCATTGTAGAAGCCTGCTACCTTGCTGTTACATTCGGAGGCGTTCTTGGGGTTGGCTGATTTCACTTCTTCCATCGCTGTTGCTTTGTTGGTCAGCACACAGCATGAACGAGGGATGCTCTGTGACGAGGCAAACAAAAGTGTTAGCATGCATATAAGTGGAAAATAAAAAGAGAAAATTATCTTGTGTGTAAATGTTTACGATTTTACTCCTTAAACTGACCACAGTGTGGACATTTTTGCATAAGCAACTGTATATATACACAATATATAGGTAATCTATATGTATCGTGTGGATATTTTCGTGCTAAATTTACTGAACGTGAAAATTGTGAGCCTATTTACACTGCGATAATTTCCTTCTTTACAGTAAATCATCAGTGGCTTTTCATCTACGATAAACACATTTTGTTCAGTATAATATATATACAAAGTCACATCTCCCTGTCCATGGTAGAAAACACACTTACGACAAGTTGTGAAATCATCACATGTATGTAAACATCAACTTACCAGCCCCTTGCTCACCAGGTACTCATTGTTCATGTAATCATCAGGCCCACTGTAGCCACAGCAGTCAAACTAAAGTAACAACAGAGCATTTTATTAATCATTAATCAACCCTGGACCAATGGCACTTTCTGGTGAAGTGAACATTGTTTTAATGTTCATTTCTTTTAAACAAATCTTTTGAGAGGAAATATTTTAAAGGGTACCCAAATGGTAAAGGGAGAGCTTTATCTTTAAACGGGTGAATTTCTGTCTTTCATGGGCAAGTATCGGGAGAAAAATATACCTTGATTTGGATGAGGCCCCAGGCATCCCGCAAGGTGGAGCTGTTGGTGTACTTCTGTTTCACTGATTTCTCCAGGATTGAGTCAATTTTTGTCTCAACCTATAACATAACAAATCATTTGTAAATGTATACAGAACAAACCTACCATCTACACTGTAGAAATGTACAATTGATCAAATGTACAATTGATCAAATGTACAATTGATCAAATGTACAATTTATCAAGCGATTTTCAATTTAATCTTTTCACACATTCGGTATTTTAATCTAATGAAGAACAGATGTGAAGCCCCACATAACTTGTGTGACATTATTAATTGTGCCCTAATAATGGCTCTTAATTTGTGTGGTGATATTTTACATCAGAAGGGTTTAACACAAGAGGAACGTCGACATGGCTTATGCTTGATATGCTTTGTTGCCCTTTGATTGGTGTAGACTTTGCAATGTAATGGTTGACTACTGCTGTTTTCTGGTTTTTCTTTCTTGATTTCTATTTTCAAATTTAGAAAGACTAGGACTATGTAAAATGCATGGCAACAAGGCTTTTATAAAATGACACTTTTTGAAAGGTCTTCCACAAATATTTAACAAAGTGACAGTGGTAATAATATAGCTTATTTTGATAGTGGTAGCTTTTGCCTTGAAAGACTTACCTCCATTCTGTAGAGGATCATGAGAACAGCAGCAGCAACCTCCCCACCGATGATGAGGATGAGGAAGAAAACATACTGAAACAATTAGAAACAACCAGATTATCTCCCTTTATCAAAATATATATACTTGACAATTACTTTTTCTTGAGAGTATTATAAAGAGTTTACCTTTGATAAAAAAAAATGTATGATCTCCCCTTATCAAATTAATACCCATTAACTCATTCAACTCTGAAGACACGTTCAAAGGTCTGAATATATATCTAGTTTGTTATGAAATTTCAGGGGTGAATGAGTTAACTTTTACATTCTGAATTAACTTCTGTCATTTAGGTGACAAATCACCAAGGTAATCATTCGGTAACAACAACGACCAATTATGTTTTATCAGTTGACTATCGCATTTCTGGATACCAGGAAAATATGGTTAAAGTGGGGCATGTGGAAATTTTCGCATTGCGACTCTTTTAAACTGATTGCAGATTTGAAACTTTCATGTTGTCAATGATTCTGAAGTCTACGTATTCTAAATACCTATAGTCTGTACATAAAAGTTTGTGTGTGGATATTTTTTTCACTAATTTACTTCATACGAAAAAAATGTACATTTCCACACCACGAAAATGTCCACTTACACCGTATTTGACAATGTTATAATCTATCAAACAAGTTTCAATGAATACAGTAATTATATATATCATTTCTATTCACTTTATTTTGTGTGTTATTTGAGGACGAGGAAATAAATTGGTCTGTTGATGTATAGAACGAAAACGAAAGTCCTCTCTGAACAAACAGCACAGCAGTTTATGTAAAGAGTGCACATGCCCTTTTGGGCGTCCATAGACCAATTTATTATCTAGTCAAATTCTTATAATTTTAATTTTCAAACTAGAAAGGAAAACTTCTATCGCACAAAATATTTATTATTTATGTTTACAACAACTATGTTATTTTTTATGAATGGCACAAAGATTTTTATGTTGGTCAATCAAATGCTGTGTTTGCAATTCACCACGCACTAACACGCAATAACACACCAATCTAGTTGAGCTGGAAGTTTCTACAGTCAGGTTCACTTACATCTCTCTCAAGAATTCCAGTTTCTTACTTTGATTACAATGACTTCATTTACAGAGACTATCCAGTCACATGCAATTGCGGACCTCGTTCTACAATTTCCCGAATTATTTATTGATTTTGAAATAACAACAATTTCTTTTCATAATTACACTTGAAGAGAACTTCATTCCAATTTTTTGGAAAACTTGGGGGGAAAAAAATATGAATAGGATTCTGTTGCTTCGGATAATGGCCCTTAAAGAAAACTTGACAGATACCTTATCTCCAAACTGAAGCCTTGCTTCGAAAATAGAATATGATTGATAAATCTTTTATCTCTTTTTAAAATATTTTTCTACTTTTTTTTTTTTTTTTCAATTTCCCCATGGGAAAATCAATTCCTTCTTCCTGTCCTGGTTAAGCGTTGTTAAGATCAATCCGCTAATGATGTGGCACTTGCTATTTGCAACATTAAACTTTTTGAGGAATCCAATTCTCTAAACCCGATAATAAAGGTCTATACGAAGGAATCAATACGATCACTATTCTGCAGGTTTCATTAGTTCCATCAATCATTGAAGTTATGACTGTTGACAATTTATTTAATGATACATGACTTCCTCTCCTGTAAACTGTGAAATCAGATACTTTCGTGGGGCCCAAATTTGTGGTTTTCCAAAAAAAGACTACTTCTTGTGTACATGAGTTTGTGGATGAAGAGTAACCACAATAATTAACGAAATTTAAAACCCACAAAAATTTGCAATTTCAAAGTATTATAATTTACAGAAGACAACTATTGTAAAATCGGAAGAAACTTAGCTGAAGTCAAATGCAATATATATACATGTATGAATTAAAAAAAAAAATACTTTGAATATGTTATGAATATTAAGAAATAGCTGCAACAGGTAAAAGAAATATCAAGCATAGTAATTTATGGAAAATTATTATATATATGTACATAACTCATACGTACATTCATGATTTCTACATGTAGTTTATACAATATTATTAAAATTACTTAAGGATCCCTGTCCCACTGTAGACAACACACTATTGAATTCCACTCATATAAAGAATTTGTGAGGCTATAGTGACACTATGAACTATGTGTAAGGATCCCTGTCCTTCTGAATTGTGGTGTTTGGTATATTGAGTAACTTACTCTAATTTAGTTGGGCCGGGACACATGACCAGGTAGCTCAGTCGACTAGAGGAGCGACAGTATAAAACACAAGTCAAGGGGTGGAATCCTGGTCTAGCCATGCTGAATGTTTTAACATAATTACGTTTTGTTTATTTTATTTTTATCTTTTTTCATATACTCCCGCAAGGTAGGGTCTCTTTCCTGAGATGATACAGCAAACATATAGCCATGCTGGAAACAAGTTTTCAATGCTTAGGTAAATGTTTTTGGCAGTCATACGGGGATCCTTAAGGTCAGAGTTCCATAACTTCTGCATAATTCACAGTTCATTTATAGATCGTAGTTCGGAAAAATAATATCCTCAACACCTAATGCCAAGTTTTTATTTGTAACCACCAACATATATCTAGTTCCCCATTTCCTGAAATTTTCCATCTCTACTAGTACTTACTGCCAATCCCCTTTATAACGCCAAAAACTTGCCAAACAATAGTGGCACTATAAAAAGGTGTTACATTATCAAAATGGTGTGGCCTGTGTTACAGATGACAATACTGTTTACTGTCAAAGCCATCTATACTGCCAAACCCTTTTATAATGCCAAACATTTGCCGGACAAACAGTGGCATTATAAAAAGGTTTTACAGTATAGAAAAGGAGTGGAGTGTTTCAGATTAAACCCTGTTTACTTACGAAGCCAAGGAGACATTTGCTGCTACGGATAGCGCCACAGCAGCCACAGAATCCCACGAGGAAGACGAAAGCTCCAAACGCAATGAGGATGTAGGCAGCGTACTTGAAGTAGGAATCGCTGGTGTCAATCTGAACCACCGTGAAGTAGCTGCTGATGTTCTTGTCCACCAGAAACCAAATTCCGACACCAAGGATTGCCCCGCCGGACAACTGTAACAGACAAAAAGGTGATCAGGTATCTTTCATAATGGTATCAGGTTTTTCTCGAGGACCATATTGGGGCCGTAATTTGGCCTCATTCTCAATGGAAAATAATAAATTTCCATCACTTCAAATTTATTATGCAACATGGGGAGAAAGTTGAAGCACTCTTCAAGGAATTGGTACACGACATACAGTACCACTGAAAACTATGAACAATAAACTTGGGCTTAATGTAGAATTTAACAAGTTGAGAACACGTATTAGGGACAGAAGAGGGGGTGCAGTTTTTATGTTAAATACAGTCATATAAACAATTAGCACTAGGGCTGCATGTCCCACAGCAGACAAAACACCAGAAAACGTCACTTAAGTACACAAATAGTAACCTCCCTGAAAGTGACTTTATTACAAAAGCAGCAGGACTGGGTCAGTGTTATTCCTATGACCATGGTGCTCATTTGGTTAAAGACAGTATAACGATCAGAGGTCCAGGGTCATGCTCCATTGCAATCTTTACAATCACAAAAAAATGTTTTTACTTTTCTGTCCTAAACATTTTTTTCACAAAATGTGAAATGTTATGATTTTTTTTGGCAGCGATTCAGGGAATTTCAATTTTATCTGTCTGGCAAATGCAAACGGAACTAATTTGCACTGTTCTCCTGCATGTCAACTTATCAGTCTATGTGAATGTATATTGCAGCATACACATCACGTGTTAAACCAATAAGAGGCCCTGTCTGCGGTGTGTGTTTGTACATCTCTACAACTTCGTGTTTCTCGTCTGCTTGGCACCTGACAGAATATAACTTCTGTTCCATATGATTTGAATAGACAGACCTTACCAACAAAGTTATAAAAATGTACCTCAATATTCGAACTTAACAGACTAGACATGTTCATAATGTAAGGATCGATAAATATGTACATGTGTTAATAGGCTACCTTACACATTGAGTGATGTATGGGAGTTTTTTTTTTATCTCCCCTACATAATTTAATGACAATTCTGGAGACAAATTATGGGAAGTTTTTGATTTCTCTTTAATGGCCAAACTGTTGATTGACCTCTTGGACATAAATTTTCAAAACTTGACCTTCTTTAGCTCCAACTTTATTAGTGGCCTTTCTTGGTGACTGGCTAATTTGTTCATGGAAATCAACATTTTGGGACATATTGATATACTACCGGGGCATATTGATATACTACCTGGGACATATTGATAAACTACCTGGGACCTACCTGGGACATATTGATATACTACCCATCATTTTGTGGCCAAAGTTGACGCAGTTTTATGTAATACAGATTCTTTCTGAAGTTTTCTTGATTTTTCAAATCTCTTTGAATTCAGCTATTACTTCCCTCCCCCTTATTGTTTATGGCCATAATTGCTCATGTTTTTCAAGAAAATTATTTTCTATCTAAACCTTTTCCAGAAATTTGCAATAACAATCTTTCTTCTGAAGTTATGCATGCCTCAAAGAAGAATTTTCTTTTGTTCACATAAAATGAAGTCTTTATTGAAAATTTAAAGCTAGGCCCATGTCCTCTTGAAATTCCTGTTTTTCCAATCTTGTACGCAAATACACAGACACAAAATATTACACACACGCATGCAAGGAATCACTTCAGTCTCTTATTGATTTTTCATTCTTCCAGAAAAAAAAAATCAGGTTTTATTTAACCCATGTTTATAATATTTGATAGCTACATATAAATTTTGTTATGTTTTCAGGCCCCAAAGTGGATGTGTGACCTTACTGGGAAGAGGGAAGAGAAAATGGCAGGCTGGCTGACAGTGACGGACTCATTGATTGCTATTATGTTCTCTACAGCATTTCTGGCTGCCATATTGATATGTTGTGTGTATGAATTCTAAATCAGTCCTTATCGCTGGGACCTGTCAAACTCAAAGAGCTTCAAATATACATGCAACCATAGAGAGGTACAATATGAATTGTTATCATGCAATCGGGTTAATCCCAACCCTGAACAACCTTCTGTGACCTTGACCTACTGTGACCTTGACCTCAATAAATTACTTTGACCTCAAATAATTACATCATTTCATTGAACTTGGTAAATGTTGCTTTTGAACAAGAACTTAAGCTACCTTGAACCTAAACAAGAGGCCCAAGGGCCTAAGCGGTCACCTGAGTTATATCATAGATACTGGTAGCTTTATTTTATTGTTTAGATGTGATGTGGAAATCAGCATGTAAACTAAGTGAAATACAATACTTGTCATGTCATCAATGGATAAGAATTTGAAAATATTGGTAAATGTTCCCTTTGGGGCCCCGCCCTAGCCCCTGGGGATGGGGCAGGAATCCTAATTTTACAAAGTAAAACTCTCATTTACCCAAGATGATTCTGACTAAGTTTGAGCAATTTTCTGCTGAAAATGGATAAAATATATACCGAAAAGTGTTATTTCCCTATATAAACTATAT